AAATGGCTCATATTACTCAGCAGTTGAGGTATTACAGTAATATTTAGTCCGCCGTATGTTCAACGTGCATGTGAAGTTTATTGTGTTAGGCTACACCAGCGGTTCCTAGAATTTTTTTTCTTTTTCACCCGGGGGTCGAAAATCTAACAAGTTCACTTCGAAATAGCGAAGACCTATAAGAAGTAAAATAAAGGGTTGTGTTAAAAATAAATTGAAAGACGTAAGTGGGTCACTAAGCGCCATTTTGAAACTGCAAACAGCAGTCATTCAAGTGGGTTACTGTTACTGTTGGCAACACGACCAAGAGATTCAAAGTAGAAACAAAATTATGAAAATCATGTCATATTTCGCAAGGCCCCTGTGAGAAAGCCTCAGAAACCCATATAGAAAAATGTCCACGCAACCAGCCCCCCCCCCCCCCCCCCCCCCCCCCTTTTATTTTCTTCTTCAAAATTTTAAAATAATCTTCAAATTGCTAATGTGGTTGGGGGGAACACAGCACAAATCAATCCCATTAAGTTTTCTATTTATCTGAAACCAGCCTAGACACGTAAATTCTATTCCTCTCATAATCTTGTCTCACTACGGAGCGATATCTTTACCATTTATACTTTACTCATCTCTCATTTGGTCAACACCGACACCAGTAAAAAAAATATAAAAAATATACACACCAGCAAAAGAAAACAACAATACTTCTTCTTCGTCTGCCCGCTTTTACCGGTGGGGCGTAAAGGGTAGCTATTGGTGACGGATTGCATCAAGGTGTGAGGCCCACCGGAGCTTCTTGCTGTGGATCTTTAGGGTGGCTTAGCACAGTTAACCCACCGAGTGCGTAGCTTTCCCTCTGGCCTCTAATTCTAATACCAGAGTGCCTGCTGCTGCTGCTATTGTAAACTTGTAATTTGTATCGGGCCATTGTGCTCAGGCCTGGGGAACATTCGTGTCTGCAGGAGCCCGCCCCTGCCCCTGACATACTTTTCGATCACATACAACCACATAACTGTCCCCGTTTCCGAACATGGCAATTGCACGCATGTCAGGGGCCATCCAAATAGTACATACGCAATGAGGGAGTGGGAAGGGGTGGGGTGTCAAAATTGAGAAATTTTGCGCACGCTTGCGTATGGATCGGGGGGGGGGGGGGCTCGACGGAAAGCACTTACGGTTTTTGAAAAATAAAATTATACAATAATTTTCTTTAAAT